CGGGAAGATCCCACGTGCTGCGGAGCGGCTGGGCCCGTGAGCCATGGCCACTGAGCCTGCGCATCCGGAGCCTGCGCTCCGCAACGGGAGCGGCCACAACAGTGAGAGGCCCGCGCACAGTAAAAAAATTAAAAAATGAAAATAAGCTGGGGTAGGAGGGCTACAAGGGTAATTAAAAGTTTACGGGAAAAAGGAATTAGATAGCTATACACACTAATATAGAAAGTTTTCTTTTTTTTTAATTTGATGCTTTAAGGACAACAGTAAGTACATCTACGTGTAGAACTTCCCAGCTTTAACAGAATTTTATGCTTATATAAGCATATATTAAAGCACTGAAAATGATATTTGACTTACTTAGAAAGAGATGATTGATGTGAATAGCTAGGACACTCACTGAGTACTTCACTTATTGTTATATTATTTGAAATGTTTTCAAGGACCATGGACTACTTTCATAACCAGAGAAAAAAAGGGATGTGTTGTAGTTTTAGTTTCAGTTTTCTCTAAAATTTTATAAACACGGTATCTATGGACCCTTTCCTACCCCTCACTTGAGAACACATTTAAACCCTCCCTGAATATGTCAGTGACTCTGTAAAGTAATATACTTCCAAGTACAACTGTGTTTACCTAACAATCACACAAGGTATGGAATTTATAGTGTGTGTGATTTAGGCACACTGGATTAAAACAGTGGTTCTCCGGGGCTTCCCTGGTGGCACAATAGTTAAGAATCCACCTGCCAATGCAAGGGACATGGGTTCGGGCCCTGCCAGGGAAGATCCCACGTGCCGCGGAGCAACCAAGCCCGTGTACCACAACTACTGAGCCTGTGCTCTACAGCCTGTGAGCCACAACTACTGAGCCCACGCGCCACAACTACTGAATCCGGAGCAGCACCTAGAGGCCATGCTCCGCAACAAGAGAAGCCACCGCAATGAGAAGCCCGCGCACCTCAACGAAGAGTAGCCCCTGCTCACCGCAACTAGAGAAAGCCTGCGTGCAGCAACAAAGACCCAGCACAGCCAAAAATTAAAATTAAAAAATAAATTAAAAAAAAAAAAAACAGTGGCTCTCATGGTGTGGCCCAGACACCCTGTGTGTCCCTGAGACCTTTTCTCAGGGGTCTTCAAGGTCAAAGCTATTTTCATAGGAATACTAAAACACGATGTGCCTTTTTCACCATGTTGATGCTTTCACTGATAACGCAAAAGCGATAACTGCTGGGTCCTCAGCAGAGTCAAGGTGGTGGCATCCAAACACCCTGGCAGTCATCACATTCTTCACTGCCACTTAGAGCTAAAAGGTAAGTAAGTGCCAGTTTCACTTTGAAATGTCTTTGAGGAAGCAGTAAAAAGTATTGCGCCCAGTCTACTGAGGCTTCCTAACATTGCGTGTGATGACTGAAGTATACACACAGCACTTCCGACGCACACTGAAGCCAGAGGTGAGGCCTTGAGGAAAAGCACCTGTGCGATCTACTTGAGCTGCGAAATAAACCGCTTTCATGGAACACCCATATTACTTGAAAGAAAACCACCAAGCCACGGTTTTTCAGACTTGGAAATTTGACAGGTATTTTTCTCAAAAATGAACCAAGTAAGCCTGTCATTTCAAGCAAAATGTGTATTTGTTTCCAATGATAGAATTTGAGCTTTCAAGTAAAAATGAATGTTAGAAAACTTGTAGCCATCACTATAAGAATGACAGATCCCAGTCCTTAAAGACTTTTCTGAGGAGATCAGTGTTGATATTAACAAATGTGCCTTTTTTGATACTGTATAACGATATGGTGTAATGAAAGGGTCAACTATTGAAAGAACTGCATGAATCAATGAATCACTATTTTTTTCTTTCTTTCTTATATTTTTTTGTTTGTTTGTTTGTTTGTTTTCTGTGGTACGCGGGCCTCTCACTGTCGTGGCCTCTCCCACTGCGGAGCACAGGCTCCGGACGCGCAGGCTCAGCGGCCATGGCTCACGGGCCCAGCCGCTCCGCGGCATGTGGGATCCTCCCAGACCAGGGCATGAACCCGCGTCCCCTGCATCGGCAGGTGGACTCTCAACCACTGCACCCCCAGGGAAGCCCTCTTTCTTATTTTTTATTCTTTTACTATTTTTCAAAGGATCATGGTATAATATTACAAAATCATCCATTCAAAGTCCAACAGATTTTAATGTAATAGGAGACAAAAAGTTCATTGATACAGTTTCAGATTACACAGTGCATCTAACCTTTAAGAAACTACCACTTGTCACTGTCACTGTCATGCAGTATCAAAGAATATCCACAATCATCTGAAAAGGTTATTAAAATACTCCTGGCTTTTCCAACTACACATCTGTGTGAGGCTGGATTTTCTTCATGTACTTCCATCAAAACATATCACAACAGATTGCAGCAGCAGATATGAGAAACCAGCAGTTTTCAGTAAACCAGACAACAATGAATGAATGATTTATAAAGATGTAATACAATGTCACTCTCTCACTAAATATTTTTTATTTTGGAAAATAGTTATTTTTCATAAAAATATGTTTTTATGTTAACATGTAATGGGTTTGTTATTGTTACTTTTAAATGAATTAATATTTTTGAAATTTCTCAGTTTTAGTATCTAATGTGGTATTACCTCTTATTTTCAGTTACACTCCATTTATAATGTTCCCAGAAAAGGTAAATATTGACTGATGAATCTCAGAAGCAGTACTTTTCATAAACAATATCATCTAAGCCCAACTTTAGGTTTAATACACATATATACATTATTATGAAAGGTAATACCTAATTTGTACAAGCCATTATTTCACTTACAAGTAACTTTCAGAGCTCAAATTTGCAAACGGCCTTTTAGAATTTGGAATTTTATTTTCAAGAGATTTTTTTTTTTTCTCTTTTAAAATTATTTTTGGATTACGCTGTAAGGCACAACTGACAACAAAAAAGTTAACATAAGTTGTAGTTTTTAGCAAAAGCCATTCTTTTTTTGATTAGTGATCCATTACAACATTCCATATGCCCTAAACAGGACTCAATTTGAGAAATATCTCAGAATTTAAAACCAAGAAAGGAGATAAAAGAAAACAGCAAAACCCCGGGAAACTATCTCCCCAGTAAGCTGCTTCTTTTTCCGACAACTGAAATTATGTAATACGTCTCCTCTTTTGCCGTAGCTGCTGTGCTGCTCAAAGCCAGATATCACGCTGACCGCCACATCTTGACCTTGGCTTCATCCCCCCTCAATTCACATGCCGTGTTTTCCCTTTCCCTCCTGCTTTGTCTTACTAGACTTCTTTGATTTTAAGCTACTTCAAATCCTTTCCAGAAAGACATAGGACATAAATAAACTTTTTAAAAATTACATAGAGAGAAAACATATTACTTATAAAATGTAGGAATTTACTTGAATGTACTTTTAATGTATAACATATTTTGGCAGGCCAAGATCACATAATAGTAAATGATCTGATTGTGCACTGTCATTTTAAAGATTACTGAAAACACTCACCCGTCTATGCCTTTCCCTGTCTTTACATCTCTCCCGCACCCAATCGATGGTGTGGAAATCGTCATAGGTACCCACACCGGGGATGGGTTCATCCAGAAGGTCCAGCAGGTGGGTGGAACTGCTGATGCTGCCTCCGTTTGTCATTGTGTAATGAGTTCCTACAAAGCAAAAAGGGGACAATGAGTGTGTTCTGTGAAACACAATGGTGAACTATGCTGCCTCCTCAGCAGTTCATTAGGGATTCATAAAGAAATAGTTATCACTCGAAATAATTACACTAAAACAGAGGAAGGAAAGCATTAGAAAAATTCATCTGAGACTTGGAAATAGGCAAAAAGACTATGGCATGTCCTTTCCAACTCACACACTATCCCCTAAATCAGCTTTGTCATCAAGCTGGTTCCCTCATTAGAGTTAAGTAAGTATTTGACAAGTATCCACTATGTACCAGACTTGAAGGTACCAGGAAGGAGACAAAGGCAATTCACAAAAAATAAAAACTGGCTATTAAATTTGAAAAGAAGTTCAATCTAACACAGAAAAAGAAATGCAGATAAAACCTACAATAACATTTTCCTCTATCAGATCGGTAAAGAGATTAAAAAAGCTGGCTAATGCACTGAGTTGGCAAAGTTATGGGGAAAAGAGGTCCTGCCACAAAAGCGTTAGTTTCAGTATAAACTTGTATAACCTCTTTGGGCAGGCAAAGCTACACAGACAATCTCCAACCCAGCGGCCATATATCTAGGAATTCTTCCTGCACTTATCCTTGTACAAGTCCATAAATCATGCACAGTGTGGGGAGAACATCTTACTAGTGCTCCAGAAAGTAGGCAAAAACAAATGCCAGATGCTTACGATCTAAAAGAGGGGTCAGCAAAAGAGCCAGAGAGTGTATCTTTTAGGCTTTGGAGGCCGTATAGTCAGAACTACTCAACTTTGCCACGGTAGCACAAAAGAAGGCATAGACAATATATAAATGAATGAATATGGCTGTGTTTCAATAATAGTTTATTTACAGGCGAAGAGCAAGATCTGACCCCTGACCCTATTTTCAAGTGCAGATCAGCATGTTTAATTTGAAAATTATTTAGTAAAATTTATTTTGGTTTAAAAGTTACACTTACATGTATATTTAAATACAGAGAAAACAGTATGAAGAGATATGAAACAACATGTTAATAATGGTTACCTCTGGCAAGTAGATTTGTTAGAAAAAGCAGAGAATGAACTTTGTCTGCATAACCCTTGTAGGTATATAAATATACCTATCAATATCAATGAAAATTACTTTTCTAAATAAACACACACACTATTAATAGGGATGTGAACGGGACTGAGAATAAAGGAATCCTAATGGATCTAACAATTAGGTAAGTGAAAAGAGCAACAAACTGCTACCAAAAGGCCCAGATTCTAGTCTTAGACAGCTAAGTAACTTTGGACAAGTCATCTTCAAATATTAAGCATCTAAATGATATGTTATATATCATTTTGTTATACCTTATAACGAAGACATATAAGCAAAGAAGCATTTGGAATTTTTCTAAAGCCCTAAAAACTTAGAAAACCTGGTACATAATTTCAAACAGGTGATCTTGGCATAAGTGATTACAGATTACATCTTCAAATTATGTAGCAGTAATATAGATTTTATGCCAAAAATAATCATCTAAAAGTGTGTCATTTTAATAAAAATGTACTAACTGATATAGAATATAAGGAGTGGCACTACACTAATGTTTAAACAAACACTATAAAAAGAAACCCAAGAAACCAGTTTATTTTATTCTGTGGCTTTTAAGGAACAGAGCAAAATTTCCAGACTACTCTTGCAGTCTGATGGTTTAAACTGACTTGTTCTCTTTCGTTTACAAAGACACTATCATAAATGTTAAGTCATTCACCAAAGGATCACGTGGCAAAGCCAGAATCTGAACTTTCCCCCCTGGCTATAAACAACGCCTAGATTAGAGCAGGAGAGGGTCCTGAAGCAGTGGGGCGGTGGGAGGGAGAGACACACACAGCCGCCACGCCAAGACAGGGACTCATTTTGTTACTGTTCAGACAGAAACCAAACAGACGTCACTGTGGGTTGCAAGCTCTGTTTCTTGATCATTCAAAGAGGCAGTATTAGGAACAAGCGTTAACACAAAAAGGGTTAGTATTTCAAACAATGTAATAAGTACTGAATATCGTACTAATAAACTTAATGTCTCTTTACTTCTACCAGATAGAACAGAGTTCTCTCTTACCTCCCCATTTAATACATTTGTGCTTGCCTTGGAAAGGTGTAAAACTTCTAAAAGGAGAGGAGTGTACTGATTCCAGTGTTTTGGCAGAAGCCCTCCGGGAATAAATAATTCACCATTTTGGCTGAGGGTTTAAAGGCCCAAGCCCTGCAATGGCCCATGCTTGCTTACATAAAACATATGCTCTAAACCTTCCTCTTCCGCCTTTACATACACTAGCTCTTTCTTCCTCCCTCTATCCTGACTTTATTCACTAATTTCCACTTTGTGAAAGCTAACTGAAAGGCCACAAATTTTCTTAAGAAAAAGCGACAGGAGAGTAAACATAATAAGTGCATGTATAATATCTTGACGAATTTCAGAAATCTGACTCCGCTTTCTGTACGATAATACTAAAATTGGTCATTGTGAGGATGGATTTTGGAGGGAAGCACCAAAGCCTCTATACCATTTAGGAAGACTTCTGGGGGGCTCTGCCCAAAACGCATAATCAACACTACAAATCCAAGCTGAGGGAAATTCTGCAAGATAAACGGTTTGCATTCTTCAACAACATCAAAGTCATGAAAGACAAAGCATGACTGAGGAGCGGCTCTAGATTAAAGGAGACCAAAGAGACAGCCACCGAACACGACGAGCACAGCAGGACTGGGACAGACATGTTTGCGCTTCTGTATTAAAGGACACAGGGCAACAAGCAGCAAATCTGAAAACAGCCTGTAGCTCTAATAACAGTACTGTATCAATGTCAATTTTCTGAGTTTGAAAACTGGACTTAGCTATACATAAGCTACATATCCTTCCATAAGGAAATACACACTGAAGTATTTAGAGATTAAAGCGTATCACGTCTGCATCTTACCCTTATAGAGTTCAGGAAAAAATTATGTGGTAATTATATGCACCACATACATATAAATAGCCGTATAGATTATGTATTACACAAAAAACAGATATAACAGCGAGAGAAAGAACAAGACACAAGATGGACAAATGTGGTAAAATGTTAACATTTCAGGAATCTGGGTGAAGTGTATATGGGATTCTCTGCACTATTTTTCAACATCTCTAAGTTTGAAATTAAAAGAAAAAAATTTTTTAAGTCTACTGTGATATATTTTGCAAACTTGAGACTCTTCCCCTATTTGCCCTCATCTGGGTGGAGCTGAACAGACATGAACTACTGATCTTTATTATCATCTTCTATGAAAAAGCAAAAGCAAAATTTCTATAGCACCTAACAAGCATGCACACAATATGTCACCAGCCCCATCATGAGAATTCCCAACCGTCTGCACCATGCGGGTACTAAGCACACACAGAGTGTATCCCTCCAACAGGCTTCTGAGCTAGCGAGGGGCGGGGAGAGACCACTATGCCTAATTTCGGAGGCAGCACCACACACACATCCACAGAAGCCCTGTGTCTTGCCTCAGTGACTTTCAAATCATTAGTCTGTAGAAACTACCCTGACATCTAACTTACATAACTACACGGTAATTCAAAAGTCCTGAAAGTCAGATATAAAGTATTCAACTTTTTAAACCGGAGGACCCTGTGCACCAATGATTTATGTTCTGGGACTTTTATGTGTGTCCCTTGGAATTTCTGGGGCTGCCACTGCACATTTTAGGGTAGGAATTAGCCAGAGCAGTTTATGTCCCCAACAGACTCTTTGAAGTCAGTCTGTCCTCTCATGCCTACTTGCTTCTACCTGACACAGCAATGCTGTTTGAAAAAAGCAGAGTATGGGAGAAATGCTGATTGGTCTTGGTTTTGGGGGAGCCCGAAGAAACAGAGATTCACTGTTTCGCCTCTAAATTATTCCGAAAAGAGGTCTGAGTCCTTCTCGTGACTCTTGCTATCAAATCGGCTTAGAAAGTAACCAAGATGGATTTTGCTATGAAAGTAAAATAACACCTTTTTGCTTGTTGATTACAGTATTTCTCTGGCTCTGATAAATATAATTAAAAGGAATCTCCCGGAAGAAAAAGGCAGACATTTCTTTTTTCTTTTTTTGGCTGTGCCACGTGGCATGCGGGTTCTGAGTTTCCCCCACCAGGGATAGAACCCATGCCCCCTGAAGTGGAAGCACGGAATCTTAAACACTGGACCACCAGGGAAGTCCCAAAACGCAGACATTTCAATCTGGCTTTAACCTCTCTCCTTTCATCCTGTTTCTTATTGGGTTATTATTAACAAATGAAAGATATATCATATTGAATGCAAAATCAATTAACATATTTTTTATGTATAAAGTCTGCTTTGGACTTCTCTGGTGGCGCAGGGGTTAAGAATCCACCTGCCAATGCAGGGGACACAGGTTCGAGCCCTGGTCCGGGAGGATCCCACATGCTGCGGAGCAACTAAGCCCGTGCACCACAACTACAGAGCCTGCACTCTATAACCCACGAGCCACAACTACTGAGCCCACATGCCACAACTACTGAAGCCCGCACGCCTAGAGCCCGTGCTCCACAAGAGAAGCCACTGCAATGAGAAGCCCACGCATCACAACGAAGAGTAGCCCCTGCTCGCCACAACTTGAGAAAGCCCGCGCGCAGCAAAGAAGACCCAACGCAGCCAAAAATAAATAAATAAATTTATTTTTTTTTAAAGTCTGCTTTACTATTGCTAAATAAAATTCAAGAATCAGCTGGCTATTAAAAAAAAAAAGGATTCACACTTTTACGTTAGTATGTGTGTGACATCGTTACATGCATTTTCTTTTATAGTTTGTTCTGCCAAACGTGGGAATCTGAATAGTACAAAGAAGGAGAAAAGGAAAGACTTTCTGTCGTATTCTAAACTGGGTAGGGAACATTCATTTCTAACAGGATCACAGAAATGCCTATATATCCCACAGTACGAGTAATTTTAAAGGTACTATGTTTCCTAACAATAAC